TGTTCAAAATTATGTTTCAAAAAGTGTGTTCAAACTACTGTTATATGTGGTGTTCAAATTGGTGTGTTGCTGGAAAGTCAAGTAATGGCTTGTATGTGTGTTCAAATGCTCGTGAAAGTAATGACTTGCTGGAAAATCTATGTACTGTGCTGTGTTCAAATTTTTAATGGTTGTATGTTAATGCTTGTATGTGTGTGGACCAAGTGTGTTAATTTAGATGAGACCAATTGAGCAAACTTCATTTGATGTTAATTTACACTTGATGTTTATATTTCATTTTTCTTCTTGACTTTGATTTTAAATGGACCCATGTGTTGTGTTAAAAATTTTTAGATTTTTTTTGTGTGAAAGAACAGAGGTACTATAATTTGTAACAGATCTGCCAAAAGCAATCCACAGATTTTCTTGTGTGTGAAGAACAGGTACCACAAATCTGGCCAAATAGAGCTTGGTGACATTTTTGTTTAGATGCAATTATGAAACTGCTAAACATATTTTCCAGTTGATGCAATTTTTATTTAGATTTGGGTGATGTTCACTTGTTTTTAGATGCCAAATAGCAGCCCACAGATTGCACAGATCTGCCAAAATAACTTATTGATGATGGCATATTTGTTTACATGCATTTTGCTTACAATTTTTGATGGCAATACAGATACAATTTTGATGCCAAACAGATCCGCAGTCATGCAATGTTTGTTTACATGCTTGAGTTGATGTCAATTTTGTTTTGATGCCAAATAGGCAGCCACCATATCTGCTAAATAAACAGTTACATATCTGCAATAGTTTCCAACAAATCTGTAACAGATAACAGTGCAATTTGATGTAATACAAATGCAATTTTGATACACAATTACAGATACATTTTGATCAATACACACGAACTTGTTCAATTAAACCAAAATGCGATCAACAAACCATCCCAGATGTGCCACAAATCTGTTTTAAACTTACTAACAGCTTAATATTTGAGGCCACAGATAAGTGACAAACAGATACTAGTTACATATAAGATCTGCCCAATCTGTTCATTAGAAACAAACCTTGCAACAGGATAACAGAAGTTGTTCATTACAACCAAAATTCATTCACCCAACATAACAAAAACTTGCACAGATAACAGGCCACAGATTAAGTGACAAAGCATCTACAAAATTCATTCATCCACAAAGAGCATCCACAAAATTCATTCAGCATAGCATCCACAAAATTCATCCCAAATGCATCCACAAAACTCTAACAATGGACCAATGTTTCCCAAATTCACTCCATAATAAATTCTAAAGTTACCATCATAATAACTAATACACCGATTCCATACATTTCATTCGCATATAAGAAATTGCATCCACAAAGCTATTAAAGTAAGTTACATAAGTTCATAAAGTTACCATCATAAATAACATTTATTCAATAAACATAAGTCACAACATTGAAGTACAATACAAACCAAAAAATGTAGAAAAATTTCTTTTATTCAATTTCTCACAAATACAATAAAGTACAAAAGTTTACATTGATAAAGTACAAAATGATAGAAAATATAATGAAATACATTCATCGCTTTGATATTTATTTTCTATACCTTTCAGTCCTTCGACAATAGTCATTTCACACGTCATGAAGCCTCGTCGCTTACATCGTAAAGTCTTTCTACTGATTATAGCATCACAAGCTCTGAGTATTGGAACGGATTCGTGAGATTGTACATCTTTCATCATCTTCATCCCGAACAACAATCGCAGCTTGCTAATGGATGACTGGAAGAAGCCGGAAAAAACTCAACAGCTAGTCTAAATAAATGCTTTAGAACAAATCTGGTAGTCCACTAAATAAAAAAGGTCAAAAAGTGCTTAATACATCAGCACCACACCCTAGAAAAGGAAAAAAAATAGAGACTAAACTGTCCTAGAAGAGTTGCCGAAGCATCTATGGCCAGGAAACACCCTAGTCGACAGCCAATAAGACACTAGTCAGCATCAAAGACTGAAGCTAATGCTGGGAGATAGTTTATGGTCGTGCCGGACTGTTGTAAAAACTGGTCGGAACTAATGTCGAAACAGTTTAAGGGGTCATGCTGGAGCGTTGTAGGAACTAACCGGAATCAATGTCGAGACAGTTTAAAGGAGTCATGCCAGACCGATGTAGAGAACTGGATATTGAACCAGCATATGACACACACATAACTTATGATGTGATGCTGAACGATGATGGCAATAGATGGTTGAGTGCACCAAGGGGCGACTTATTAGAAAGTGCACTAAGGGGCGACTTTGGTGGTGCGCAAGAGGGGGCGACTTTAGTTGTACCCCAGAGAGAGCAGCTTGGGTTGTGCGCTAGATGGTGCGGCTTAGGTGGTTCACATAGTATATCACCATGCTCACCATGATATAGGTATAATACCCTCCATCAAACTCAAATAGCTTTGAAGATAGAAACCTAATTGAGATTAAAATAAAGGGAAAGACAAAGTGGAACAAAAACACACAACAACAAAAAAAAAAATGGATTGCGAGTAAAAAAAATATGATAGAGATATTTGAGATAGAAATAAACCAGCAAACAAAGGAGATCATCAAGAAATGAGACTGAAAGGAAAATATAGCAGTGGAATGTGTTGAGATTCGGCAGGCGGCCAAAGCAAAGTTGCCGCCCGCCAGTAAGGCAAAGAACATCAAGAGCTTAATCTATAACTCTGATACGATGTCACAATATGTAAGAGAGAGAAAGAGAATATTATATTGAATATTATAACAAGAATAAAGCTTCGGAGAGAAATCTAAATATGTTAATAAATATAAAATGACATGTATGATAGACAGAATATATAGTTATTATATTTAATAATTTGAATTGACAGACCACAATAAGATTAGATTTGATCACAATTAATTGGGCATAATCGACATGAAAATTAAAATATGACGTCAACAATACCTTTATTATTATTTTATTTTATTTTTATTTACTTGAATTGTACACGTTAGGCAACAACTTAATTATTAGAGTAACTCCAACGCTACCTTTTAGTTTTTATTGCTAAAGTGTAAAAAATGAATGCTTTTTATTTTATCTAATTAAATTTTTTATTTATGTGCTTTAACACTGCTCTTTATTTTACTTATTTATTTACTTAAACTGTACAAAGAATCTTTTAAAACTCTCCAAATATAACTAATTTAAAAAACTTTTATTAAAATAGTTACTCCCTTCGTCCTAAAATATTAATCCTTTATTCTATTTTTTATTGTCCCAAAATATTAGTCTCTTTTCAAAAATTAAGGACTAAAATAATATGAATTTCTTATTTTGTTTTTTTTTTAAATTCATTAATAACACAAAAAATACAATTATAATAATTGATATTCTTAAAAAAATATACTATCAAAAAGTAATTTTAAAAGATTAAAATATTTTTAAGTACAATAATTGTACTAAAAAAAGTTAAGTTCTCACAAAAAAAAAAAACTATTTTGATGGAGGAAATAATAAATAATAATCAACGTATCTATTTTAAAGAGCTTATTACAAATACTCTTTTAAAAACATAGAAATCACCATTTCATACCTTCTACTCTAGACTAGAGGAGAGGATTCCTGATCCTCCAAACGAGTCTGGATCCCCTCCTTGCAAGCCTTCTTTGCAATCCTCCTTGCAACGGCTAAGCAAAGGCCATAAAATAAATAAATAAATAAAAAATAAAGAAATTGAATTTTCATTTTCTTTCCGCCCAAAGACACAGAACAAAGCCTACATAGATTTTGGTTCTATAGATTTTGGTTTGGAATCACACTCACAAAAACACACTCATTCCTTCTTCTCCGTCGAATCCACCCTCACCGACGACCCAGTCTCAGCCGCTGTAGATCCGATGACGGGGAAACACTCTCGACGCCATTACAGATTCTGTCTACTTGGCAAACCAGAGCTGTCATGCTCTTCTCTTCCACCTCACCGGCAGACCCTCGCTACAGCGACCAAATGTTAGTCTTCATTGTCTCTGTCTCTGTAATTGGTTTGCCGTCACTCCCCAAACCGAATCCATTGATGTCTGTAATAACATTGATGTCTGAAGACTGACCTCATTGTCTCTGTCTGTAATTGCAATGAGGCTGAAGACTAACCTCATTGTAATTACACTGTATAGGCTGAAGACTAACCTCATTGTCTCTGTCTGCAATTACAGAGACAGAAATTGAAACAAAAAAAAAACGTAGTCTTCATTGTATGTCTGTAATAACAATGAAATACATTCAATTTACACTGTCAATGGTATTTCAATGTTAAAAATATTGTTTATTTGTATGATTGTTCAGAATCAAATGTGTACCAGTGAAATACATTCAATGTTAAAAATACATCCAATTACATTCAATGGTATACATTCAACATTGTGTATTTCAATGGTTTTTTAGTGTTAAAAATACTGTGTCAATGAAATACATTCAATTTCATGTGAACCTATAGACAGATAAAAAAGTTCACTTGTTATAATTGATTTAATATTTTGTATTTTTATTTGTTATACATTCAATTCACTTGTTATACATTCAATTTCAGTGTTAAAGGTGACAAATTGTATTTTTATGTTATTTTGTATCCGTTGAGCTACAATAGGTTTGCCAAACCCTGTGTAGTGACCCAACCCAAAACTAAACGACTCTTGTTGCCCTTGAATCATTGTTACCAAAGGTACTTGGCTTGCATTCCTTTTCTTAGACACTTTAAGGAGAACCAAGTAGTTGGAGTTTGGGATTATATAGTTTAATTAATTTATTATTTGATCTTAATTGGGGCTGGCCATATGGTTCTCATTTCTTGTTTCTAGTTTAATTGATTTATTATTTGATCTTAATTGCATAACTTTTGTGTAGTTCTCATTTCTTAGACTCTTTAATTCATTTGTTCTTGTTTTCTTTTGTCTATGAAATAAATATATTATTTATGTAGCTAAGATTTTATTTATATGGGTTTTCAGTTGCATTTTGATATGGATATGGAACCTGAGAATGATTGTGCTTGGAAGCCAAAACATGGAATGACATTTGATTCTGAACAAAGTGTGTATGATTTTTATAATACATATGGAGGAAGAATCAGGTTTAGCATAAGAAGGGATTTTTGTAGGAAGAACAAGTTCACTAACCAACTTATTTGTAGACTTTTGGTTTGCAACAAAGAGGGATTTTGGAAGGTTGACAAACGAGACCCATTGACAAAAAACTCTAGAGCTGAAACTAGGACCGGTTGTGAGGCTCGACTTTATGTTAAATTAGATGAGGGTATTGGGAAATTTGTTGTGACTGATTTCAAAGAAAAACATAACCATGATCTTGTATCACCCGAGTGTGCCCACATGTTGCCGTCACAAAGAAAGATATCGACTACCCAAGGAATTGAGTTAGATTTGGCGGCACAATCTGGTCTTCGTTTAGGCCAGTCTTTTGAACTCATGGGTAAGGAAGCTGGTGGGAGGCAATGTCTTGGGTTTACAAAATTAGATCAAAAAAATTATTTGAGAACCAAAAGAAAACAAAGTTTAGCATATGGGGAAGTAGGCAATGTGTTGCAATACTTTAAAGAAAAATCTTTGCAGGATCCTTCCTTCTTTTATGCTTTTCAATTAGATAATGAGGAGCAAATAACCAATATGTTTTGGGCCGATGCATAAATGATCATGGATTATGCCCAATTTGGTGATGTTGTCACATTTGATACGACTTACAAGTTAAACAAAGAACATAGACCCTTTGCATCTTTTGTAGGATTCAACCATCATAGGGAAACAATTATATTTGGTGCAACATTGTTGTATGATGAGACCGCCGAATCGTTTGTATGGTTGTTTGAAAATTTTCTAGAAGCTATGTCAAGAAAGGCACCAAAAACTTTGTTCAGCAATCAAGATGCTGCAATGGCTAAAGCCATACCTATCGTTATGCCTGACACAAGTCACCGATTGTGTACTTGGCATTTGATGCAAAATGCATTAAAACATGTTAATTGTTTTAGCCATCAAGATAAGGGGTAAAGGGTTTACTAAATAAATTCTTCTTTGACATTGAAGATGCAAATCAATGGAAGTTAGAGTGGGCGGAAATGCTTGATAAATATGATGTGCGTGAAAACCATTGGTTGAAATTGACTTTTGTGGTGAAAGAAAAATGGGGCTGGCCATATTTTAGATCAACATGGGCTGCGGGAATGAGTACCACATAACTTAATGAATCTTTTAATGCTTTTTTGAAGGATTACATTCGTTCTGATTTTAACTTAAATGAATTCTTCATGCATTTCGAAAGGGTACTTTACGAGAAACGATACAGGGAGTTAGAAGTAGGATATGCTTTGTGCCAAAGGTTGCCAAAGGTGAAAGCAACAATAAGAATGTTAATTCAAATGGGTAATGTCTACACAAAAAAGATATTTGAGGAATTTCAAAATGAGTACTTTCGATCCATTGAATCAGACATAGAAGAAATTGAATATGGCGATGCTAGTACCATTTACACAGTTGTTGATGTTGCTAACAAACATGCAAGGAAAGTGAAGATGGAGAGGGATGGCTCTTTGGGTTGTAATTGTACAGAGTTTGAAAGGGAAGAAATCTTGTGTTGTCACTCATTGAAGGTTATTAGAGACATATTGAAGTTGAAAGAGGTTCCTCCACAATACATTCTAAAGAGGTGGACCAAACAAGCAAGAGCCGAAACTGTGAAGGACATTAAGGGGAATGACATTCAAGTAGATGTGAAATTCCAACAAGCCTTACAGTATAAGACATTGATGACAGCATTTAGAGCACTAGCAAGTAGAGCTATTGAAACTGAAGAAACTTATGATTTTTGTATTGCACACCTTGTTACATTAGGTGCAAATGTTGAAGGCAAGTTAAGTGCTCATTTTGGTGTTGGAAATGAAGTAAGTAATGATGATGACACCCAAAGCTTTGAAATGGATTGCGAAGATATGAATCATGTTGTGCAACCAAAAGGATTGAAGAAAAATGTGGCAACTAGTAGGGCAAAATGAGGGTAAAAGGTGGATTCGAAGTGGCGTTGGTAGCGAACTCCAAAAAAAAATCCCGTGCTAACAGCTTGGCTTCGTCACAATCTATTGCAAGTCCAACAGTTCTACTTTCTCCATTATCTGTTTGAGGAGATATCTATGTTCGTCAACATGTTCCTTCTCTTCAACCTCTTCCTCTCCTTCATCCTCTTCCTCCATCTTTGCCCATGGGTGGTAATTCAATTCCTCCACCATTGATGTATCCCGCATATCATGTAAGTTTTACTTTAACATTGTATTTTTTGTGTAGATATAATATGTGACTCAAACCATGATTGCAAAGCCTAATATATGACATTGTTGTAGGCGAACAATTTGTGGGATATGTATGTAGTGCCAAATTCTTTGCCAAATTCAATGCCTCAACGGTATTCTGCGCAACCAACATTCCAGTCACTACTTCAAGGTTCATGTAGATATGACATTGGGTTTCGATATTCTCAAGAATCAAATAGTCCAATGTGTAGTCAGGTTCATCCTTGCTGCCTTTTTAATTTGTAGTTGCTGAAAATTCTTACTTTTTAGTTGCTGAAAATTTTGTTAGAACATGTATTTACTTGCCGAAAACTCATTTTAAAGTATGTATTTAGCTGCTAAAAATTGTGAAATATTCTGTCTTTTTCCGTTTTAGGCTATGGACAAGCAGAAAGAGAAGCAAACTGAAGCTGAAATTGGCCTGGAAAGTGAAGTCATAGCAGCTCAAATTGTGAAGCAAACTGCTACTGAAAAGTGATGTTGCTGTACAAATTGTGATGTTGCTGGAAAGTGAAGTAATGGCTTGTATGTGTGTTCAAATGGCTTGCTGGCTGGAAAGTGATGTTCAAATTGTGTGTTCAAAGTGTTCAAATTGGCTGGAAAGTGATGTTCAAAGTGATGTTCAAACTGCTGCTGTATGTGTGTTCAAATTATGTTCAAAATGTGTGTTCAAACTACTGTTATATGTGTGTTCAAATTGTGTTGTTGCTGGAAAGTCAAGTAATGGCTTGTATGTGTGTTCAAATGGCTCGTGAAGTAATGACTTGCTGGAAAATTCTATGTACTTGTGTGTTCAAATTTTAATGGCTTGTATGTTAATGGCTTGTATGTGTGGACCAATGTGTTAATTTAGATGGACCAATGTGAGCAAACTTCATTTGATGTTAATTTACACTTGATGTTATATTTCATTTTCTTCTGATTGATTTTTAAATGGACCAATGTGTGTGTTAAAATTTTTAGATTTTGTTTTGTGTGAAAGAACAGGTACATAGATTTGTAACAGATCTGCCAAATAGCATCCACAGATTTTCTTGTGTGAAAGAACAGGTACACAAATCTGCCAAATAGATGCTTGGGTGCAATTTTGTTTAGATGCAATTTTGACGCTAAACATATTTTCCAGTTGATGCAATTTTTTTTAGATGTTTGGGTGATGTTCACTTTTGTTTAGATGCCAAATAGCAGCCACAGATCTGCAACAGATCTGCCAAATAACTTATATATGGATGCAATTTTGTTTACATGCAATTTGCTACAATTTTGATGCAATACAGATACAATTTTGATGCCAAACAGATCCGCTAGTTCATGCAATTTTGTTTACATGCTTGAGTGATGTTCAATTTTGTTTAGATGCCAAATAGCAGCCACATATCTGCTAAATAACAGTTACATATCTGCAATAGATTTCCAAACAAATCTGTAACAGATAACAGATGCAATTTGATGTAATACAAATGCAATTTTGATACAATACAGATACAATTTTGATGCAATACACAGAACTTGTTCATTAGAACCAAAGCATCAACAAACAGCATCCACAGATGTGCCAAATCTGTTTTAAACTTACTAACAGCTAATATTTGAGGCCACAGATAAGTGACAAACAGATACTAGTTGACATATAACAGATCTGCCAAATCTGTTCATTAGAAACAAACCTGCAACAGATAACAGAAGTTGTTCATTACAACCAAAATTCATTCACCCAAATAACAAAACTTGCAACAGATAACAGGCCACAGATAAGTGACAAAGCATCTACAAAATTCATTCATCCACAAAGCATCCACAAAATTCATTCACATAGCATCCACAAAATTCATCCACAAATAGCATCCACAAAACTCTAACAATGAGACCAATGTTTCCCAAATTTCACTCCATAATAAAATTCTAAGTTACATCATAATAACTAATAAAACTCATTCCATACATTCATTCCATAATAAAATTCATTCCACAAAGCTATTAAGTAAGTTACATAAGTTACATAAGTTACATCATAATAACATTTATTCCATAAACATAAGTTACATCATGAAGTACAATACAACCAAAAATGGTAGAAACTTTTATTCAATTTCTCAAAATACAATAAAGTACAAAAGTTACATGATAAAGTACAAAATGATAGAAAATATAATGAAATACATCATCGCTTTGATATTATTTTCTATCCTTTCAAGCCTTCGACCATAGTCATTTTCCACGTCATGAAGCCTCGTCCTTACATCGTTAAAGTCTTCTACTGTTATAGCATCACAAGCTCTAGTGTTGGAACGGATTCT